AACACTGTTTGCACTAAACGTCCATTGTAGTTCCATCGCGTCGGAGCAACTTTTGGAAACCTTCTTTGAACATGAACGTCCAAAGCGCGAGTTCTTTTTGATGACTTTGAAAAGAAGGAAGCCAAACCACTAAGCGTCGAAAAGAAAACTTTGCAATCTTTAATATGATCCATGCTTCGCGATAAAACCAAATTAAGTCTATGTGCATGTTTAAACTTTTCTTTCACTTTAGCTTGAAGGCCTCCATCACAACGTCGGCAGTGCATTTTTTAGGGTATCATTGTATTTTGCTAAAAAACTTAGAAGGTCCATAGATAGAACCCTACGTGAAAATGCCTGGTAAATTTCTTTGTTGATTTTTCTACTTTCGTGAAAATTATTTTTTTCAATAAAGAGCACACAATACAGACACATTATTATTGTTCACAGGCACAGTTCCTCCATTTTACAAAAAAGAAAAACAACTACGAAAAACAAACCGAAATCTACCTAAAATCTAAGATTTTCCTCACACGTCGATTCGCGAATTGCAATATGCGTAAGGCGACTTAATAATTGCTGCCTCTCGACCGTATTTCACGTGCCCAAACAGACTGACACTGTCGCTGCAAAGCAGGGTCAATAACACTAAGCGAAATCACTTGCAAGATGAACCGGTTATTTTAAGAGGCGCTTCCGCTGACGGACTCGTGTGTACGTTTACACAATTAATTTTCTCATGGGTGGTGCGTGCGTTTACACACCAATGCATTGTTAGTACATTTACGAAGTTTACTCAATGTTTCAGAGAAAATATAGTAACTAATTTAATATTAATTTTTATGCATTGTAAACTTAAAAATATCTATTTTTAAATTTCAAAGTGTAGGGAAGCGGTGATTCCCCCTCTTCCATGAACCGCACGCCTTTGCTGATAATATAAAAATACTTGGTATTTATAATAATAATAATAATAATAATAATAATAATAATAATAATAATAATAATAATAATAATAATAATAATAATAATAAACGTCTTTATTGCACAAAAGTACATAGGGCGAGATTTAGCTTGGCTATTCTTTAGGTACATTATACATTTGGGCCCTATATTAATATAAACAATCATAATTTATATGAAATTAATGCGCAGACTGCATGAGATATTGGTGAAGAAAATAAAAAATTCTCCTTTTAAATTTAACAATATTGTTTAGCTCCTGGCACGCATCACTTACAAATGTAATGATTTTTATAATTTGGGATGGGAGTATTATGGAAGAATTGTACTTTGTACTGAACAATAAATTTTATAAATTATAATAAACTTTATTAAAAAAATCATTTAAAAAATATTTGTACATCTTACATTACTAATTATAATACTATATTTATCATCAACCTACAATTTTTTCTTTTAGTTTTATTGCTCCTTTCTTAACTTGATCGGCTCCATATTTAACTTTGTTTCCTACTTTTTGCCACCACGATAGTTCTTCCTGTGGTACTTCATCAACATGATGAACATGTTCTACTTCAAATTGATCCTCTTGGTGCGAGGGATGGTTTGCATCATGAACGTGTACCATCATTTCATCAATTTGATGTTGCGGATGGAATTGTAGTTGTTCGGTATTTCTAGGAGGTTCTGCTGAAAGTTGGCTAATACGACCTTTTGCTGGGATTACCTCTTCCACTTGTTCATCGTTCTGAAAATAATTATGATCTATGATTTCATTCATTTTGAAGATATTACCACAAAAAAATATATGAAAATCTTTGATTTCCTTGTTTTATCAATAAATATTTTGTATATAATCAATACATACAATCATTATTTTAAAAAGTTACAAGTTAAACTCTTTTGTCAAACACAACATTCTTGTGGGTCATTTAATAATATTCTGTTATTTACTAGGCCTTAAAAAACGCAAATGAAATTACTGAACTAATAACAGTTTTTGGTTAAAATAATTGTAATTGGTGTAAAGAACAAAACTTTTGTGTGTATTTCACATGTTAGGACGAAATTGAAGAGACTAAGTTAATTAAAGCCAAATTAGAAAAAAATTAAATAGTTTTTTTTTTAATTTTATTTGAAAAGTGGATTCTGGCAAGTAGAAGTACACCCTGACGATCGAGACAAAACTGCTTTTCCAGAGTTGTTTGATCATTCAAGGTGAGAAGGCGTGTTCGTTTCACTGCGCAAATAAATCTATATTTCTACCGATATAAACTAAAAAAAATAACTAGTGAATTAAATAAAATGTGATAGTACTATAGTGTAGTAAATAAACTGTTTAGGTGAGTCACAGTTGCGTAGTTTAATGCATTATCTCTGCAATTTCACCGAAATAAAATCTACCAAGGAAACTAAAAACGCAAAAAATTACCAAACCTTATCAGATGACAAAAAAGTTTAGGTGAAATAAAATAAACACCAATACTTTCTACTAAGCAATCATACAAATAGAATATCCAGTGGTGTACCCACATTTAGTTTATAAAATAAGAAAATGATTTATTAAGAAAAATGGCAATGAAATGCTCACAGTGTGAGATTATTCATCAGCCAACAAAAGAACAAAAATATCCATGTTCTACATGTGATGGATGCAGAAGATTATGCTGCAACCAATGTTCTGAATTATCAACCACAGAAATTAGGTGTATACGTATACAACTACGCACTAGAATTCTGAAATTTAATTGTGCAAAATGTAGGAATTATGAACTGACTGATTTTCTAAAGACTAATGAAGATAAGGATGAAATAATAAGAAGTAAAAATGAAATAATAAAAATGCTTCAAGAGAAAATTAAAGAATTTGAAGAAAAAGATAAATATTGTACCTACCATTTCTTATGCTTATATGGTGAAGTTACAAAAAGAAGACAATGAACGAAAACCTAACCCTCCAAAAATTATTATTAAACCGAAAATACCACAGAGTGGAAACAAAACAAAAACAGATTTAGGAACAAATATTAACCTGACTTAAAAGTTGGAGTGAAACAATTAAAGATGGGAAAGAATGGTTCCGTTATACTTTCCTGTCAAACCAAAAAAGAAGCTGAAATTCTGGAAAAAGCTGTTCAAGATAAATTAAAAGATTCATATGATGTAGATCTGGCAAAAATGAGAAGACCCAGAATGAAAATCTACAATTTAACGGAAGAATACGACCAAGGAAGAAATTGACAAGTCCATTGTGAAACAGAATGACATAATAGGTGAAATAAAAACCACATATATCAGAAAAACGAAAAAAGGCTTCAATACTGTATACTGTGAATGTTCAGGAACTGCATTCAAACAATTGATACAAAGGAAAAAAATATGTATAGGATGGGAAAGACTTCCGGTTTATGAAGATTTGGAGATACCCAGATGTTTTAAATGTCAAGGTTTCTACCATAAAAAAGAAAACTGTAAGAATGCAATCGTGTGCCACATCTGTAGTGAAGAACATGAAGCTAGCTTGTGTCCAAAGAATAAAATACACTGTCAGAACTGTAAAACTTCTAACGAAAAATATAAAACTGACTGAGTACGACTACAACCATTCTCCACTGGATTTGACTTGTCCCTCTTTGAAATATCATCAAATGGTATTGCAAAATAAAACCGAGTATACAGATCAATAACATAACGTAACTAATATTTGTACACACATTCAAATAGTTCATGATTATTAATCAAGAAAATAATCTATTAAATTCTATTAAAATTGATTCGATTAATGAAGTCGTTGATGCTGCTAACATAACAAATAAAATTAATTTAAATGAAAAACTCCTAAATATCTTACATTTCAATATTAGGAGTATTAAAAAGAATTTTGATGAGTTGTTAGTATTTCTAGAAACTTATAAAATTAATTATTGTGATATAATAGTTTTTACTGAATGTTTCCAATTAGAATCTATTTCTCAATTTAACCTAGATGGCTTCACCACCCACTATAACAATGGTAACATTAACAGAAATGATGGTGTTGTAATTTTGGTCAGGTCAAATCTAAATGCAGAATTAAAACTAGTTAAACTGGAATATTCTGATATTTGTGTCACTAAAATAAATCTAAAAGTCAATCATCGGACCATTGGCATTACAGGTGTATACAGGTCTCTTCAAACCTCTGCACAAGCATTTATAAGGGATTTAAAAAAATTCATACCGAATCACCTAAATAGAAATATTGAAATATTCATAGGGGACATTAATATTGATCTCCTAAATGTGACCAATCAAGTAACTACTGATTACCAAGCAACTTTTTACTCCCATGGTTTCATGTCTTACATAAACACTATTACGAGGCCACAAAGATAATATATTCTTAAAAAACAATATTAAGACTGAAAATCTATCGGTGAACTTTTATGTAATCAGCTAGGATATGACTGATCATGATCCTATTATGATAAATATTTCACAATCTGCCAAAAACTACACAAGCTCCTACAATACATATAAAACTATAACTAAAATCGATACTGATAAATTAAAACAAAAATTCGAAACTGTAAACTGGGAAAGTGTTTGCAATGAAAATAATCAGAAATTGCAACACAACTTTTTTATGACACGTATCTTAATATCATTAAAATATGTCAAACCACTCAAAATATTAAAATTAAAATCCATAAAAAAATAAAGCCATGGATAACAAATAATTTAATTAATTCTATTAAAACTAGGGATAAACTTAAAAAAAAAATCTACAAAAAACTATACTATTAACAAACAAACTAACTATAAAACATTTAGAAAAAATTTAAACAAACTAATATCAAAAACTAAAAATGACTATTATAACAATAAAATAAACCAAAACAAAAATGATCTGAAAAAACTTATCAATTAATCTCTGAAGCAACTAATGAAAATCATAAAAAAATAATACCAATTTACAGATTGTTAACCAACATAATGAGGAATTTGAAAATGATAATGATAGGTAGCTCTCACAACGATTTTAATTTAAAAAATACAAACTGCAAAAATCAGAGAAGCTTCCGAAAATTCCACAAAAAAATCTAATTGTCATAAAATTAAACATAAACAGGGCAACGTTGCGATGAGCGATCTGCTGCTGACGCCATCAAGCTAGAATCGGCTAGAACCGACCAGCCGGACCAGCGCGTTAGTGTTCGAGATCGATCAGGATTGCTTTGAACTGGATAAATACGCACGGCGCGGCGACATTGCGCTTAGTTTAAAACTGAACGCGTAACCAACGTCCAGCGGTTGGGTTAGTAGAGAACATCAAAAAATAATATTATGGCAAGCAGTTGTAAGAAGGTAAAGACATACCACTTTCATTCGGAATGGGAAGAACAATACTTTTTTACATAAGTTAAAGATAAAAATGTATGTTATGTAATACTTCGGTCTGCGTTGCTAAAAAAAGGAAATATTGAGAGACATCATAAAACTGTACATTCTAATTTTGAAAAATCATTCCCACTACATTCTGCCGCCAGAAAGGAGAAACTGAAACAGTTAAAAAAGCAGTTAATTGGACAACAATCAATATTTTTAAGAACAGTCGACAAAAATAAGGCTGCAACTGAAGCATCATACCGTGTGTCCCAGATAATTGCACAAAAAAAGAAACCTTATGAAGACGGGGAAATGATAAAACATGCGTTTTTAGAAGCTGCTGATTCGTTATTTGCCAACTTTAGAAATAAAGACGAGATTGTTTCAGCTATAAAATCTATGCAACTTTCTGCTAATACAGTGATGAGACGTGTAGAAGTAATGAGCAATGATATTTTTTTACAGTTAAGAACTGACTTAGATAACTGTGTTTATTTTTCACTTCAACTGGATGAATCAACAGATGTCGTTGACACAGCCCAGATGGCCGTGTTCGTCAGGATGGTTTTTAGTGATGTTACAAATAAAGAAGATCTTTTGAAGTTTATTCCACTGAAAGGACACACTACTGGACAGGAGTTGTTTTCTCATTTAAAAAATATTATTTCTTCCGAGAAAATTCCAATATCTAAAATGGTAGGCTTGACAATCGATGGCGTTCCAGCTATGGTGGGTTGTGATAAGGGTCTGGTGGCGTTATGCCGTAAAGATGAAACTTTTCCGCAATTTCTCTGTTACCACTGCATTATCCATCAGCAAGCATTATGTGGAAATTTCCTGAAACTAAACAACGTTATGAAACTGGTGGTAAAAATTGTGAACAAGATTAGAGCTCAAGCGTTACAAAGAAGATTATTCAAAACCTTGGCCGATGAAGTTGACTGTCAATACGGGGACCTACTCCTTCACTCTGAAGTCCGATGGTTAAGTAGAGGACGGGTGCTGAAACGTTTTAATGGTGTCCTATCTGGCATAGTTCAATTTTTCAAACAACGCGATGAACCGACTCCGGAACTATACAATTCAATCTGGTTTAGAGATTTTGGTTTTCCCGTGGACATTATACAGAGAAATTAAACGAACTTAATTTGCAGCTTCAGTGGAGAGACAAAGAACTAGCGGAAATGATTTCTGATATAAAAGCATTTATCAAAAAGCTGGAGTTTTGGGAACAAAACCTAATTAACAGCGATGCCAAGCATTTTCCTATTCTTTCAGAAAAAATATCTCAAAATCCATTAGAACCCTATGACAGCAAATATCATGTAAAAATAGTTTCTACCCTGAAGAATAACTTCAAAAATCGTTTTAAGGATTTCAACGAAATGGCTTTAGTAGCGCAGTTTGTTGTTTCACCCTTTATGGAAATTGATATCCAACAGTTTGCAACTTGTGTCATACAGAACTTTGGCGAAGACATCGCTGCAACAGAAATGGAAGTAATTGAGTTTCAAAATGATTTAGCCTTAAAATCGTTAGTCTCAAGTACCAAATGAATCTGGCCTATTGTAAGTAAAGACAAATATTCAGTTCTATGCCGTGTTGCCTTGAAAGTGAAAGCATTATTCAGTTCAACCTATTTGTGTGAATCTTCTTTTTCCAATATGAAGTTTATTAAGAACAAATATCGCAATCGACTTACAGATGAACATTTGGATAAAAGTTTGTGTTTATTTTCCAAACACCTTCGTTTGGTAGGTAGGAATGTAGCTATGAACAAGTACGTACTAGTAATATGAGTTATTTTGCTATTAGTTTATTATTAGTACCTATGTATTATGTATTACCAGTTAAATAGTAAAATAAATACATATAATGATAAATTAACTGTGGATTATTTCATTTACGCTGCGTTACGTGGCTTCCGTGTGGGTAGCTCGCTATTCCAAAATTAACAAAGTAGCTCAACACATTGAGAGGTTGGCGACCACTGCTTTAGAACATAGACATAACATTAGAACTGCATCGAACATGTGCATTAAAGTACCAAAACCAAATAGTGAGTTTTTTAAAAACAGTGTAAATTATCTAGGGACAAAGTTCTATAACGCTTCTACCTTTTCCTATAAAATTATTAAACAAATATAAAAAATTCTGGAAAGTTAGCAAAATATACATTTTCCAAAATAATGCAAAGTTTATCAGAATATTCCAAGAATAACAGACTTAATACATGGATTTTTTTTAAATAGTTTTTCTGTTTCTTTCATACATTGTTCAAGTTTTATTTTTTATTAAAAAAAAATGTTTCTTTTTTATTTCCTTTATAATTCATTAAATATAATTAAAATAAAATTTTAATTTTTGTCTGCACATACAGGTGTTCTCACCTAGGTGCTTGTTATTATATAATTGGTTTCCATTATTGTACTTTAATTTATTTATTATTGTAACTTATTTAACTGGCAGCGGACTATACCGATTCCAGGTTCTTCCGTAAAAAGATACCATCGAACCATATGCCAGCATCAAACCAAAAAGTCTGGGGCACTTTAATTCCTCTATTTCTGCTAAATGTTAACATTTGAAACCCATTTTCAAAACTTTTGCATTTTTTTGACAAAATTAGAGGCAAATAAACAGTTGTTTTGCCATTTTTTAACAAAAAAATATTTGCAAAATAAAAGGTTGCAAGGTATTATTATTATTAAATTCTTGAAAGAAATTATAAGTGTCCTAAAGTCCTAAATCAAAAATTTATTTATAAATTTATCAAAATCATAACTTACAGGAATGGCTTGTTGATCATTTACAAAACCCCGATGATGGTGTTGATAACCATACCCAAGTGGAACTTGCTCTTGGTGAACACTTTCAGAATGATGGTGACTGTAAGATACAGGAATTTCTTCTTCATGTTGATGGTCATCATTATCAACATGATTATATGTTCCAGACCTATGATATGCTGAGGAACTTCTAGTATTTGATCGGGAATAACCAGGAACTACAGGAATTTCTTCTAATTGGTGCTGGTCATCATTATGATCATGGTTGTACGTTCCAGAAGTTAGATATGCTGAAGAGCTTCTGGTATTTGATCGGGAATAACCAGGAACTACAGGAATTTCTTCTAATTGGTGCTGGTCATTATTATGATCATGGTTGTACGTTCCAGAAGTTAGATATGCCGAGGAGCTTCTAGTATTTGATGGGGAATAACCAGGAACTACAGGAATGTCTTCTAATTGGTGCTGGTCATTATTATGATTGTAGGTTCCAGAACTATGATATGTCGAACTTCTACTACTTGATCGGGAATAACTAGGAGCACTATACGAATATGTCCTTTCAACACTACCATGGGTTGGCATTTCGAAACGGTGGTTAAGATCTTCGAATTGAGATTCGTAACCATTTAAATTGTGATGGCTATGAGAACCTGGTCCGTAAGATGTTACAGTTGTTTGCGTTCTAGAATGAGGATCGCCACTGTTACTAGAATAATATGTAGTTCGTGAATAAGTTCTTCTATTACCATTGTAATCTAGAGGACTGCTATCTTGTTCAACAACAACTTTTTGATTATCGTGTTTTTTGTGGAGTCTTCTTCTAAGGACTTCTATTAGCGAATTAGCTTCACCCTCGGCTTCCGATTTCGATTGTGGCTGGGTTATGAATTTTCCTTGATCTGTTATACCAAATGCTAAATCATCTGGTTTTCTTTGATCTACGAGAGTGGTGTGATGACTAATTGTTTGTTGCGATTGTGTAAATGTTGATTGCCTTGTATTTCCAGTATTTAAAGGCCCGTAGTAATTTTCTGGTAGTTGAGCTTGTTGAATATTATCAATATCGCGGAGATCAGGCTCGTTTGAAACTTCAAATATGTTTGACTCTGTTAATCCATTTTGTTCTTCTACGACTTCTAAACTCTGTTCAAGTTCGACAGTTAGTTTTTCTTCTATTATCCTTTGTACCTTTAATATTTGCTTTTGACTTAAACCCAAATTTGATTCGAGATAGTGCCTGGAATAGCCTTTAGTGAATTCTTCTGTGATATTCTTCCTGAGATCTTCAGATAATTTTTCTTTTATTTGAGCTAATTTAGGTTTATTGAGTTTGTCTGTACCGCAGAAGCCTATGATTGCAGTTTCTAATTTTTTAGAAAGTTTCTCTTCGATGAAATCGGTATTTTCTGTTATATTTTCGGGTAAAAGAACTGCCTAAAAACAAAAAAAAAATTGTTAGCTTTATAGAAAAATAGTTAGTACTATTGACACCAATAAAACAAAAAGCTACAATGCTTCTCTAGTTCTATTTATATGTATCGATTAACTTGAAATAAATAGATAAATTTAATATTAAATAAAAGAGCAGAAAGTGCGTGATACCGTGGTATATAAATTTTTTCATGGAAGATTATTGTTTTGGAACAATTCTGCATATAAAAGTGCATATTTAAATAGTATTTACTAATAAAAAAAACTATAAAAAGTGTTATCTAGTTATAGATTGAGGATATAATAGACTCTTTTATGATATAAATAGATTATCTTTGATTAATAATCAGTTTTACTTTATAAATAGTAGAATCACAGCTTATACAATACAGCTCCACAACTCCGTGTCGGCGTCTTTGATCTGGCGGTCGAGAACCAAGCAAGACGGAATGGTGCTATCTCTGTTAGATTCGAGGGAAAAGTCGGGCCCGGATTAAACAATTTTTTTATTATTGAAAAATTGAAAACTTTGGCGTAATAAGGTTGGTTACATGCCATATTAAGTAAGTTTTGGGAAATTAAATTTTTAATTTGTTTTAAATCTGTCAAATATAATTAGAAACATTATTTAAATATAAATATTACGAAAAATAGCACATCTTTCGGATTAGAGGTAAAATAATTTGTATGTGGCTAGTAAAATCCTCGTTAACAAATGTTTTGAGCTAAAACAGTCACTTCACGACAAATTGTGGCTTGGATCCTTTTTACACCAAGGGCTTCAATTGTTAAAGAATTGTGTCACGCTCGTGGATGCAAATCAAGTGGTACCCCGTGTCTCTGGCAAGTGTTACTCTTCACGCAAAGGGTTTATACCTAGATAAACGAATGCTTCGACTGAGGTCTGGGTACTCTATGGTATTTTGGAATTATAAAGAATTTGTGCTTTTATTTTAACAATATTGGTTATATTTAGATGTATTCTTATTAATTGAAATACAGATTTGTAGAAGTAATACTTTGACAGTTTTTATTAATATAATATATTCAATTTTTATCTGACCATACCGAAGTAGGGAATTTTGAAACTTTATAGTAATGTGAAATTTGAATTACAATATTACACGATATTACATAATTAGTACTTATTTTAGGTAGGTACTAAATTTGTACTTGGAGAAAGTAATATCGATTTTTACAAGAAAACTTGAAAAGTAAATTAATTTAGTTCCTATTTCTGATGTAAAACTTAAGTTTTGGTTTAAACCAAGAAAACAAATAAATTATAGTTTGTTCAACAAGGGTGGATATGATAGCAATATCACACAAAGACGAAGTTTGAGCACGACGTCGTATGCGGAGTACTCAATCGTCTGATTGTGATATGAACAATCCACTCGATATGGTCAGTATATTTTTTCTACGACCCACTAACGAAAATCTACAAATTTAAAAAATTATTTTAGGTTATTTAGACAAAATAACTAATTTTAAAATAATTTACGAAGTTGACTAATTTATAAAATAAAATTAACATGAAAAATTAATTAGTCCTCGGCCTAGATTCGATCCCGGGCCTTTCGCGTGGAAGGCAGATGCTCTGTCCTCATCTTCACCGAAACTTTCAGGACTTTAGTTTTAATACTCGTAATTAAATTAGTATCATGTAGTTTGATTAAAATTTATTTTTTTTTAAATGTGGACACAATAAAAACAAAAATGCTATTATTTATCGAGTCTACACAAAAATTTTAATGTATATTTAATATCAATAACTAAAATATATATTGACAATTAGTTTAACAGAATTGTCACTTATTTAAAAAAATTTAAATAATAGGAGTTGGGTGACCAAAATATGAACTGTGATTTGTAGATTTAATTTTGTTAAAGTGTTCTCACTACCTAAAATGGATATGAAATATATTCGTAGTTGAACGCAATAACATACTTTTTCGTTTTGTAGTATGTGCATAGATTGGCTAATATCCATGCACAGATTACAAAACGAAAAAGTATGCTATTGCCTTCAATTGAACGAATATATTTCATATCCATTCTAGGTAGTGAGAACACTGCAAAACAAAATAAATTCGCCAATCACCGTTCATATTTTGATCAACCGACTGCTATTATTTTTAAAATTTTAAATAAATGACAATTCTGTCAAACTAATTGTCAGTATATTTTTTAGTTATTGAGATTAAACATACAATAAAATAAGTTATTCTTTTGGAAAACGTTAGCATGGATGACTAAAGGGTATTGGGTTAATTAATTCTAAAAGTGTGGTACAAATGTTATTTTTTGTAGCCAATTCTTCAAAATTATTTTGAAATATCTTTTCAATATTGAATATTAGTTCTACAAATTCATCATTTGACAGTTGCAGATTTCCAAATGTATCTGGATTGGCGTTATCATATGCCTTTAAAAAGCAATAAAAAGAAAAATCATCTAATTCAACGTGATCTTTCTTATATTTAAGACAGGTATCGCAGAGGAGTGGATCCGCAAGGCTTTTATTAAAAGGTAACCACACACATACCTGATAAAAATTTTCCGTATCAATTCGTCTTTACAATAATTTAGGGAGTTAATAATTTTATCATAAAATAAAATACAAGGTGTTCCATTTAAAAAACATACATTTTAATTTGCCAGGCAAAAACGTGACACCCTGTATATCCAAAGATATTTTTAAAATATGTAGGTATTTTTCAAATCCATATAACTTTTATTTAAAACTTTCTTGCGTGTCTACAACAAAATAATGAACAATAACGCACTAATGGGATACCCTGTATAAATTATATTTTTAACAATGAAAATTTCTTATAATGTGGTACTTATCGGTTTGGGTCCTTGGGAAAACTAAAGAATGTTTTCTTGCAGGTATAACCCTTATTAAAACAGCTTTTGACTGCACAAACAGAATGATGTCTTTTTTTTTCACTCATTCTACTCATAGCTAAAGAGTCACCAAAATAATAACAGTACCTTTAACTCAAACAAAATCAACGAAATTATAGGCTCCACGAAATTATACAATCAACGAAATTATAGGCTCCACGAAATTATAGGCTCCACGAAATTATACAATCAACGAAATTATACGCACGACTCAACACCTTACCTAAGTACGCTTCTGAACACCAAAACCGTCTTTTCCCTTCGAAGGCGGAGCTTAAGCGATGCGCGACGAAATCGACGCAAACCGTTGCCGCCAAGAGAGTGTTTTAGCTGTATTGTTAAGCTGTGATAATAGACTCTTTTATGATATAAATAGATTATCTTTGATTAATAATCAGTTTTACTTTATAAATAGGAGTAGAATCTCATTATGTGTGTTATTTGAACTTGTGCGTTATTTGAATTTATGAGTTATTTGAGTTAGTTATTTGAAGTAGCTTTAGTTCAGATATCCATTTAAGTGTATTGTTCGCTTGATAAAAATTTTTAAAAATAAAAGTTCCATTTTGGAATTTATAACTGGCGCAGTCAGTAGGATACACGCGAGTCGTGAAAAAGTTTAATCGAGTTCGCTGTTGCCAGGCCTAGTATTAACTTTTCGTGACTTTGGAATTTTAATTCCTCAAGTGTAGTTCCTAACGAAGAAAGTGACGTCCACCAGTCATCCCTTTTTTGGTGACACTCTAACTTCCAATCGTCGATTATTGGACATTAGCCCATGGTGGGACATCCGAAACGACAATTAGAAAGCAATTGAAGAAAATAGTAAGTGCCAAATATCCTTTAATTTCCCTTTCCTTTAATACCTCTAAATTAAAGATTGGTATAAAAAAGATTATACTATTATATAATTTTGAAACTATTTTATATTTTATTTTGATTATATTTTATGAGTGAATCAGAAATTGATACTTTGTTTGAGCAATTTGCAAATATATCGTTAAAAAATAATAAATCAGATAGTGTAGGAAGTAATTTAATCATGACACCTCCAGTAGTTGAACGTAGACAAGTGAATTGGGACTTTTTTAAGTCCAAAATAGATAACATAAAAACTTTTGATGGTGATAGTAATTCACCAAATAAATTTATAAATAGATGCGAAAGTTTGATTGATACATATAGAACATAGAATGACCCAGAATTGGATGCACATGTAATAGAATGTATCCAAGAAAAATTAGTAGGAAAAGCTGAGATAATAGTAGGGAACAGAATTGAAATTAATACTTGGATAGGTTTAAAAAATACTTTGTTACAATGTTTCTCCGATCGAAGAGATTTAGATTGCTTAGTGCAAGAATTGACGCGTAGTAAACCCCTAAAAGGTGAACATTTAATAAATTTTGCGAGTAGATTACAGTTGTTAAGAAGTAGTGTTATTGTACACAAACTGCTTGTTATACCTAAACATAGAACAACTCTCTACAAGAGATCTTTCTCATACAATGCAATCACTATATACCGATTCATCCATCGTACTAGGAACATGGTAAACATGATGACCAATTGACGCTTGTCCGCAACTGTCACATTCAAATTTTGTGCTTTTATCGCGGACGAAAAGTATTTCTTTAGATTTAAAATGAATGTTTACGAAATTTGCTGAGAAAGTACAAATTGTGAAATGGCATTTTCAAGGCAACACAATTCGACAAATAAGCGGTTTGTTTGAGGCGACATTTCAAAATAGGCCCATACCATCACTCTCAACAGTACATCGTATTGTTCAAAATTTTGAAATTCATGGCTGCGTTTCTCCCAATGAACATGAAAAGGCTCGAGTTAATAATAATCAGAATGAACAAGAAGATAGGGATATGATTTGTGCAACTGTGAAAGAAAATCCGATGATATCTCAGAGAGAGGTTGCGGAAGTTGTAGGTTCCAGTGAAACCACACTAAATAGAATTTTAAAAAAACATGGATATCGATCTTATAAAGTAAGAAAATGCCAAGAAATTTATGAAACTGACACTATCAGACGAATGGAATTTAGCGAGGCAGTAATGGATAAATTTAACAATGACAACAATTTTCTTTACAATGTTGTGTTCACCGATGAGTCGGCTTTTCCATTACTTGCCAGGCATAATCCATCCCAAGTCCGATATTGGTCTCAAGAAAATTTACATAAATTTGTAACAGTTCGCACAAAAGTTTAATGTTTGGATGGGAATACTAGGTGAAAATGTAATCGGTCCTTTTTATATTGAGGGTGATTTAAATAGTGTTAAATATTTGGATTTACTCAGACACCATATTGTCCCTGAGATACGGCGATTGGCAGGAGCTCGATTTAACAATATTTGGTTTCAACAAAACGGATGTTCTGTGCATAATCGTGTGACGGTGCAGCACTTTTTAAATGAAACATTTCCCAACAGATTATTATCAGGGAAAGGTACAATTCTGTGGCCAGCTAGATCGCCGGATCTCGCACCTTGTGATTTTTCAGGGAAGAAAGAGCTAACGACTTAGATGAGCTGAAAGTGAAAATTTCAGAAGCCGTTCAACTTATTAGTCCCAATATGTTGGCTGAAGTAAGGCGATCATTTTACGATCGCTTGGGGTACTGTCTTGTCCAAGAAGGAGGTCTATTTGAGCACCTATTACATTAAAAATAAATTCGTGTTCTTTTATTATTGATTGTAATTTATTATTGTCTATTGGATTCTATTTTATAATTTTTATTTTTTTGTAATTTTTTAATCTTAGTTTTGTATTTTTTTTTTAATCTTAGTTATGTAATTTTTTAAAGTTCCTTTGTTTTTTTTAATATTCAATGTTTGTTCTCTATTTTTTAATGTTTGTATTGAATTTTTTTCCATTTGAAAACAAAATCAAAGTTGTTTTTTATAAATTTTAAACTGTTGCTGTTACTATTGTGGAGGGTCTCAAAAAAAGAGAAAAAAAAAAGAAATGAAAAAGAAAATGAAAATTAATAAAATTAATAAAAAAGAAAAAAAAAACGTCGGCGCCGAGATTCGATCCTACCTCTATCCGCGTAGGTAGACTGTAAGTACACCTTACCCACGCGCTACGTCAACAACTATTAAAATTGTTCAAAATTTTGTCTATTATTACAAATTCTGGTTGATGGTTGCATTATTAAATTTCGCTATTTTCATGTCTGAATATGTTATGTTTGTTCTTTATCTTCATTTATTTATAAAATATTCATTAATACTCAACTCTGTCGAGAAATGTATAAAGTTATTCCAAATATGTCACATGCGAAAGCTTTGGAATGAGAGTAGCGGACAAGGGTAAATTGGTCATCAGTTTGACCGTGTTCGTAGTATCGTGAATGGATCTGTATAACTGTCTACCTGTTTATGTATTGTTAATTTTCTTATTGCATGTGTCTATATAAAATGTATATTAAATAATTTAAATCTAAATAACAATGTATATTTGTATTATATGAAATGTTTGTATTTGGTACTCGGTTGAGTGGAATAGCTATGCTGGACTCCACCGAGGCTTGTTAAAATAAAGACTGTTTATTACTGTTTTATTTGAATTATTAATTGGATTTTGATTATATTGAATTATTCGGAAAGTTGATTATTTAATTTTTAATTAATTAGTCAGCTTGATACCCAGGGCTGGGCTAGCCTGATATAATAATTAAATATGTTGGATGCATTTCCAACAAATAATATTGTCACAAACCAAATATGTTTAGAGGATCTTGAAATAAATAAATGAATATACATATTATAGAGAAGGTAATGTTCTACAATTTTTATCATATTTTCAGTATTTTTATCATATTAGATTTTTTTTTTCTTTAAGGTTTGGCTTTGGTAATTATATCCATTTGCCACAGATAAGTCATATTAGAATGTTTTTCTGATATTTTAATACAAAAACGTGGGAGAAGATTTTTCGTGTTTCTAAATTATAGCTATTTTTTAGTTTGTTTCCTAAAATTATTTTTGTGCGTGGGTATTATTAAAAAAAAATAATAGTAAAAATTACCTCTAAATCGACAGCTGGTTTTATATCAAAATCTTCAATTTGCTGAGTTAATTTGTCATCATTGATTTGCTCTTCTGGTTGAGATGACAATGAGAGTTTTCCTTGGTCATGATGCCTACGGGCTAATGTTTCTTCAACTTGTTGATCTAAATCTACGTCATCAACTTGTTGTTCATCTTGTGAAGTTGGTTTATGCTTAGGGTAACCGGTTTCAATTTGTTGAGTTAAATCTAAATCATTAACTTGCAATTTTCCAGGCTTGTCGTGCTTGGGGATTCCAGTTTCACTTTGTTGTGTTAGATCTAAATCATCTAATTGCTCCTGCTGTTGATCTAGTGAACCCAAGTGCAGTGTTTCATGCCCATTGTGCTTAGGGTAGCCAGATTCAACTTGTTGCTGTTGATCTTGTGAACCTATTTGAAGTTTTCCAGGCTTGTTAGGGTATCCAGTTTCTACTTGTTGAGTTAAATCTAAATCTTCATCAACTTGCTGCTGCTGTTGATCTAGTGAACCTAGTTGCAGTTTTCCAGGCCTGTTATGCTTAGGGTATCCAGTTTCAATTTGTTGAGTTAAATCTAAATCTTCATCAACTTGTTGCTGTTGATCTAGTGAACCTAGTTGTAGTTTTCCAGGCTTGTTGTGATTAGGGTATCCAGTTTCAATTTGTTGGGTCAAATCTAAATCATTATCTTGTTGTTGTTGCTGCTGTTGTTGATCTAAAGAACCCAATTGCAGTTTTCCATGATTAGGGTATCCACTTTCAACTTGTTGGGTTAAATCTAAATCTTCATCAATTTGTTGGTGCTGCTGTTGATCTAGTGAACCTAGTTGCAGTTTTCCAGGCCTGTTGTGATTAGGGTATCCAGTTTCAATTTGTTGGGTCAAATCTAAATCATTATCTTGTTGTTGCTGCTGTTGTTGATCTAAAGAGCCCAATTGAAGTTTTCCAGGCTTGTTGTGATTAGGGTATCCACTTTCAACTTGTTGAGTTAAATCTAAATCTTTGTCAACTTGTTGTTGTTGATCTAGTGAACCTAGTTGCAGTTTTCCAGGCTTGTTGTGATTAGGGTATCCACTTTCAACTTGTTGGGTTAAATCTAAATCTACATCAACTTGTTGCTGCTGATCTAGTGAACCTAGTTGCAGTTTTCCAGGCTTGTTGTGATTAGGGTATCCAGTTTCAATTTGTTGGGTCAAATCTAAATCATTATCTACTTGTTGCTGCTGCTGTTGTTGATCTAAGGAGCCCAATTGCAGTTTTCCAGGCTTATTGTGCTTTGGGTATCCACTTTCAATTTGTTGGGTAAAATCTAAATCTTTATCAACTTGTTGCTGTTGATCTAGTGAACCTAGTTGCAGTTTTCCAGGCTTGTTGTGATTAGGGTATCCAGTTTCAATTTGTTGGGTCAAATCTAAATCATTATCTACTTGTTGCTGCTGCTGTTGTTGATCTAAAGAGCCCAATTGCAGTTTTCCAGGCTTATTGTGCTTTGGGTATCCACTTTCAACCTGTTGGGTAAAATCTAAATCTTCATCAACTTGTTGCTGTTGATCTAGTGAACCTAGTTGCAGTTTTCCAGGCTTGTTGAGCTTAGGATATCCAGTTTCAACTTGTTGAGTTAGATCTAAATCTTCATCAATGTGTTGTTGTTGCTGCTGTTGTTGATCTAGTGAACCTAATTGCAGTTTTCCATGTCCATTGTACTTAGGGTATCCAGTTTCAACTTGTTGAGTTAAATCTAAATCTTCATCTAACTGTTGCTGCTGCTGATGTTGATGTAGTGAACCTAATTGCAGTTTTCCAGGCTTGTTATGCTTAGGATATCCAGTTTCAACTTGCTGAGTTAAATCTAAATCTTCATCTAATTGTTGTTGCTGATGTTGATCTAGTGAACCTAGTTGCAGTTTTCCAGGCTTGTTATGCTTAGGATATCCAGTTTCAACTTGCTGAGTTAAATCTAAATCTTCATCTAACTGTTGTTGCTGATGTTGATCTAGTGAACCTAGTTGTAATTTTCCAGGTTTGTTGTGCTTAGGGTATCCAGTTTCAACTTGTTGAGTTAAATCTAAATCTTCATCAATTTGTTGCTGCTGCTGTTGATCTAGTGAACCTAGTTGCAGTTTTCCAGGCCTATTATGCTTAGGATATCCAGTTTCAACTTGCTGAGTTAAATCTAAATCTTCATCTAATTGTTGTTGCTGATGTTGATATAGTGAACCTAGTTGTAGTTTTCCAGGCTTGTTGTGCTTAGGGTATCCAGTTTCAACTTGTTGAGTTAAATCGAAATCATCAGCTAATTGTTGCTGTTGGTCTAGTGAACCTAGTTGCAGTTTTCCACGTCCATTGTGCTTAGGATACTCAGTTTCAATTTGTTGGGTCAAATCTAAATCATTATCTAGTTGTTGCTGCTGTTGTTGATCTAAAGAGCCTGATTGCAGTTTTCCAGGTCTATTGTGGTATCCAGTCAAATCTAAATCATCTAATTGTTGTTGTTGCTGTTGATCTAAAGATCCCATTTGCAATTTCCCATGACTGTTGTGCTTGTGGTATCCAGTTTCAATTTGCTGTGTCAAATCTAAATCGTCATCAAATTGTTGTTGTTGCTGCTGTTGATCAAAATGCAGGTTCCCATGTGTGTTATGCATAGAGTATCCAGTTTCAATTTGTTGTGTTAAATCATCGACCAACTCATGTTCGTCTAATTCCTGTTGTGGTATTTCAACGGCTTGACTAATTTCGTATTGGGGATGTACTGAATGCGAATGTCCATATTTGTAACTACGTTTGGATCTAGTTCTATAATAACTTGGATCAAAACTCGTACATTCTTGGCAAGATGATTCTAATCCCGACCTGGAAGAAAGATAATAAATATTGTGTTCAAAACTTGTGTTATTGAACACTATAGGGAATTTTTATCCAGATGGTATAATTAATGGATTTTACTTGATGGTACTGAATAAGATTTGCATGCATATTAATGTTTAGGCGCCTTTTGATAAATGTAAAATTAATGTATGAAACTCTGCACTCTATCTGCATTTGTAACTTGTGGTCTTACTAAATTGATAGATTCCTTTTAGCTCGCCAGCTCTACAGAACACCTGCACTCTAAATTCTTATAAATTTAGGAAATATACTATTGAACACTTGTTAGTAAAAAAGAACAATTTTTATATGATTGGTATCAACTAATAGGCATTTAAATTTATGAGTAGATGATCAATGCATGCTTATTCTAAATTTAACTTAGTTAAATGGGAATGATTTAATAACACCAAAAATAGTTATTTTTTTTTTAATTTATAAGGTTTTAATTTTAATTTAGCAAAGCACAATTTATTTCAGTCTATTCTGAGGCACTAGCCATTAGGTACACAAGCGACGTTTTGTGCCTCCATTTTTAAGTAGTTGCTGCAAACAGCCCTTTCGAAGAATTCACATTGTCCAAAATCTTTGGTGTCTCCCTCTTGGACCTGCGAATGGAAAGAAACTTTGTTAGTTCTAAGTTCCTAATACAGATACCCTTTGACTCTCTTACGTAATTAACAAATAGCTGCAGTACTATTTTACAAGCGAATTACATTAATTATGTTTTCAGAACCATAAAGTAATAATCAAGTCTGCATTTGACGTGGATTTAGGTTATCCCCATAGTGTCCAACAAAACAAATTACTTTTATTTATTTGCTATTGTTGCTCACCTATAGTTTCCATTTTGATAATCGTATCCTCTTCCTGATCTGAAGCTTCCACTGCTGCTGCTTGCACTGTTTGCACTGTATGAACTGTGAGTTTGGAAAGATTGTTGCAGACCTTGCTTAAGCTGTTGCGTCAAGTTTTCTTGAAGTTTCGCTTTGAGATCAGCCATTTGAGCCCTATCGAAGTTTCCGTGCGCTGCATAAGAACCGCTGGCACTATAATTCAAAATATTAGCTTTATTTCAAATTAGAGCAATTTACAGTTTAGTGTTATTGTTATTACATGAAATACCGGGGGTCCTAAATAATAGAGATCAATTTTAAATGTAAATGCACATCTTATTAATTGCTCTAAAGAAATGGGATTTGTACTAATTGATTTCGTTTACCCAAAAGTTTTTTTTTAAAATTTGTTAAGGCGGCAGTTTAAAACGACCTCCTCGGCGATCGGGAGCCGTTACATATCTTATATTCGAACCCGTAATAATAGCGATAAACCAAAAACGTTCTCAAAACTATTTTCCCTGATTTTGACGGAAGCTTCTGCTACTGACTCGCAGGTGATCGCATTTTGTGCACTCGACGGATATATTACAGTGATGCCGATCCATATTATAAATCCCGATGTCTTATTTTTTTTTCGTAGAAATAGAAATAGTATTGGCACAAAAATATTTTATTAAAATGCATCTTTGTTTTAAAAATAACGGAATTTAGGAATGGAAGGGGACTGAGGCTTAACTTTAGCATTATATCTCAGGCCAATGTAAAGGACTGGTGTATTTTTTAACTACGACAAGCATTAGGTTTTATATGATAATATTAATAGGATATTTTGAAGATGCTTCAAAAAAATTACTATATTTTTTATATCTCAATATATTTTTAAAAAGGAGTGACTACCGGGCGTATTGATAATACGATGCTTTTTGACAATATACCACGAAAATTATATTAAAAAATAATATGATCTAACTCTGTACGAAATATACAGTATTCCAATTATTCATTATCTTTCTCTACTTTGCTAGATTAACCGGTATAGACGAACTGGTCGCTTACAACATGTAGAAGCAGAAGAAATTAGGAAGAGTCAGTGGCGTCGTGATGTGTGTTTATTATTTAAATATTGGTTAGTTTGTTTAAATTTTTTCTAATTATAGAATTGTTTGGAAAAAAATGACTAACCGATAATTTTTTGTACTTCCAATCAAAAATATTAGAAAATGAATATTTGGAAATAATAGTCAACTTCTCACCAATCTGATACTTTTAAAATATTTAAATATTTATCATCACAAACAGTTTTCTTTTTTCTTGTCAAGAAAGTGGGTTATTTTGCATAGTACATAGTTAGGGATATTTTAATTTTGTTCTCGTGTATTGGGTGAAAACAGTGTTTCGATTATTTTGTTCAGGTTTAGGATGACTTTTTAAAATAGCGAATGAACCAGAATTATTACTAATTGTACTTTAGCACATTGTCCAAATGTATTTTTATATGACCAATCTTCGTTCTTCCTATATATACTCCATCAACAGCATATATTAATTTAAATATTAAACATGTTTTTTTTAAATTTATTTTCTTTTTCAATAATGAACATAATTATGACAATCAGTTTAATTTATGTAACTAGTAACTTAAAGTAGGTGCCCAATAAACACAGTTAATCGGCACCGTAATTGGGCCGAAGGAGGCTTGCCGAATGGCGTACTCGGCCCGATATACGGGTGCAGCTTTGGCATATAGGTAGGGCATGTCCAGCCAGCCGAATGTCGGCAGCCCGGCTATGGGCGGTAAATCAAAGAGGTCGATTTGTTGGTTTTTTGCTAGTTGACTTCCCGCTAAAAATTCATTTTGTACACCAATTTTTTTCGAGTACTTCAAGCAGTGGCCGACCTTTTTTTGCATTTGCGGTATTCCTTTATAGTTGACTTATTGTTTGATACAACTTATGTGCCTAGATCATTTTATCTATTTATCTCTTTTTAACAAAATTCTTATATGACTAACTAAATTCAAGCCACACTTGGCGGCGATTGCGGGATAGTTCAAACCCATGATGATGGTCGCTTTGAAGTTTTTTTGTTGTCGACGGTATACCTATATGGCGTTACCGCTTTGAAACCGAGGATACAATTTTCTTCAACAAAAAATATGTTTTTCGTTTTCAGCATGTCATGAAACAAACCACTAAAGGAACAACGCAAATCACACAAAAAACTAAATTTAAACAATATATTAATGTATATACCAGGTGTCCCATATGTTTCTGGATAACTGTTAAAAGGGATAAAAGTGTTTTACCTGATTTACCTAAATCAACCTCTTGTAAAACTACCCGCTAGAAACCACCATTATCATTTAAACCGATCTGAAAAATACTTAATACGCAAGCCATTTTAGCTATCTATATTACCTAAATAATGAACAAAATAAATATAAATTTCGACAAAACCTTCTTTCTCTTTCCGAAACACACTCTACTGCCCGAAAAATTAATCGCCCATCCATCACACGTTCATTTTCTAACGATTTCGTATAAAAGATAATTATGTAGACGTGAGTTTACAAATACAGCGTGCAAAGGTCAACCGAATAACGAATTGTCAATGTTACCACTATTAAATTCCCTGTGTATTTGAAACCCACGTTATTTCGGCTTCTGTTATGCACTTTAAACATATTAAAACTTTACTCCGAATACAGTGCATGTGTTAAATGTTCGAAAATGGTTGGGAACGATTCGACTTGCTTGTTTTTAGATCTATCGACGAGTGCCTGAACTAAAATGTTGGTAAAACAGGGTTTGCCGCGTATATTATTTGAAATTTCAGCTTGTATTTTATTTCTCAATTTTTTGCGTTATTACATTGATTTGAGAATTGGTTTCAAGGTAATTGTATTTTATTATTAATAGAGTATTTGCTTGATCCCTTGAAAAAATCGTATTACATTTTTTATAATTGTTTAAACTTTTATTTTTATTATTATGAAAGTTACATTATTTATGTTGGCATCAGCAACTGCTCTGATCTATTTCAAAAACGTCTACAAAATCTTAGCTCTTTAATTTGTATAGTTTTCAAATTTATTAGAAAATAAAATTAAACGCAATTAAACTCTCACCTTAACATTTTATCAAACCAAGCTACTGATTATGTTACCGTAACTCATTCTAGACTTTAACAAAGTAGGAGACGAAGGACATAGTATCATTGCATTGTTTTAAATGGTTACTAACCTATATTCTTGAAGATGTCTGGTGACATTACGATTCAGTTCATCAGTTAATTCCTGAAGCGAAGCTTGATAGTTTTGGGGATTCGACGAGCTGTAACTAGAAGAATGCCCACTGTGCAAAGCCAAATTGAGCTGTCTCGATAAATCGTTTTGCATTTGTCTCTGCAATTGCGCCATATTTCCGCTACTTTCACCGACATATTCAGATCCTGAGCCGTAATGAGATTTGATTCCTGCATTGCTTCCGTATCCATAGTTAGAATTGGCTCCGTAACTGGATTGGCTGCTGTAAGACTGTTGTGATGACCAACTGAAATAAATGTGAATGATAGTTTTAATTCGCACTTAATAATATCTCAATTATTAACGAACCCTGAATAACAGTAATAATTGTAAAATACTAACCTCTTTCTAGTTTGTTCAAAATCGTTGTTAAGTTTGTTAATCAAGTTTCTTTCCATTTGTTCTCTCATACTCTCCAAATCTCTTACACCATAGTTGTAATCTGATGATATTTCACCTTGAGGTCCGACAGAGTACAAATAACCATCCTTAAGTCTTTGATTTCCATAGTTTTGTCTGATAACTTCGTCAAGATTGTAACTTATGTTAGTTTTTAATTCATTCCTCAGCTTGTCGAGCAAAACATCTGTATTTACCAAGGAGGCAGCCTGGCTAGATGAAAAATGTGTTCTGCGAGTTTCGTCCAGTAGATCGTTCAAGTTCGAATCTAGTTGACGTTGAACTTCGGAAGCGAGCTGAGTTAAACTCTGGGGATTAGAAACAGGTGTATATCTTGTATGAGAATTGTATTCATGTTGATTGGCATACGAATAATGTGTTGGAATCGATGGATAGATTGGACGATACGTTGTTGTACTATAATAATTATTTGGAACGTAGTAAACTGGTCTTGTAGTTGTTGTTGTTGTGGTGTACATGTAATTATTATTATTGGTGTTGTAGTATTGGTTGGAATTTGACGTCGATGACGTACTGTATTGGTAATATTTAGTACGAAGTTGGTTGAGCAATGAGTTTTCGAGTTGATTCTTTAAGTCAACAAATTCTTTGTTGTCGTAATTGGCGTTGGATTGCAATCTGTAAAATAATATAAAAATAATGAACAAAGAACATAGTGATTATAGCACAGAGCAAATACCACACTATGCAAAAGACTCTAAATCTAGTAACGAAATGGCTAGAAATTTAAGTACTAAATATTAATCCCAACCTTAGATTAAAGAGACCGAAGATGTAACATTGCACACTGCGCATGTTGTCTATTTTAAGCCAAAGTAACCCACCAATTGAAAATCATTGTTGCACGACGCCACCCGAATTGCTCCGATTTCCATTCAGCGATCACCTCCACCTGAGTTTAATCACCATTGACAGCTGTTTTTTGATTTATTTGTTGGTATTTTAGCAATTTAAAGCGTTCTAGTTATTCAATTTCAAGTTCAAAATGTCACGATGTATCTTGAAAAATTGTATGTACTTATAATACAAGTACTACTGTTATGAATATATTCGTTTTCAGCGGTAAATATTTATTAACGTTTTGACATAAAGCGCCATGATTCTCTGGGCTGAATACTTCAGATCCGCATTAAGGGGTTTCAATAAATATTAAGCATCAGAAATCAGATTTCATATTACTTACATAAATTTACAAAAGGGTAAAATTTTGAACATTTAATTTAAATAAATAGTAAATAGGCATTATTGCTAACGAAATTTTGTATTTAAAAAGTAGTTTTATAAGAATGTTTTCTAAAGGTAGTTTTTAGCCCTTTTTGGTAGATAAATAAGAGGTAAAGAATCATAGTTGCTAGCTAAATTTTATTTTTATAAGGTATGTTTATAAGAATATTAGATGAAATACAGGATGACCTACTTAAAATTTCAAGGTTCATCTTATTTGCGGTCAAATCGAAAGTGACATTGAATTTTCAGTCTTAAAACAAAGTAATCTAGTATGAGCAAAAAAAAAATACTAAAGTTACAGGAGTTAGGTCCGATTCCACCGTTGTGTTAACGGAAATTAAAATGACAGTGTTAATGTAAAAATGTCATTTTAAACTTCGTTTAACACAACGGTGGAATCGACCCTTAGTCACGTTAATAAAATGTTACATTACAAACCCCTAAACAACTCGAACATAATTTTCGTTTACTAAAAAAAATCCAAAATTTAGCAATATTTATTTATTATACAATCGAATGCGATTTCAAAGATAACTGGATCAAAAAATCCGAATCTCTAAATTTTGGAGCTAAATGCTCAGATAAAAGCAAGCGACCGATAGGGGTTACAAAAATAATCGATTTATCGATAATTCTGATATTTTTTAATGAAAATCGATTTATCCGCTGTTTTAAATAAATTATTTTCGTTTTTTTTAAGATAATATATTAATCGATTTTAAAGGAAATACAAAAAAAGTAGATTTATTCAAAATAATCGATTTATCGTTTTATCGGTTTTTTAATTATTTGATTATTTTCGATTTTTCAAAGATATTATATGAAAATAATCGATTGGATATAATCGGTTATTTTACATAATCGATATTTTGGTTATTTTTTAAAATTATCGATTTATTGGATAATCAGCTTTTTAATAATCAATTATTTTCGATAATCGAATAATCAATTTCAAAGGAAATATGAAAAAAGGATTATTAAAAAATAATAGATAATTCGTTTTATTTTTTGAAAAATCGATTTATCATAGAATCGGCTTCTTAATTAATTGGTTATTTTCGATTAGGCGATTATTTTGGAATTATTGATTATTTTTGGTATTTCAAAGATAATCGAATTATCGATTTTAAAGGAAATACAATAAAAATAGATTATTGATAATAATCGATTGATCGAAAATAATCGATTATTTAAAATAATCGATCATTCTGTTTTTTTTGAAAATCGATTTGTCAGTTAATCGACTTTTTAATTAATCGATTATTTTTGAAATACAATAAAATAGATTATTGGTAATAATCGATTTATCATAGAATCGGCTTCTTAATTAATTGATTATTTTCGATTAGGCGATTATTTTGGAATTATCGATTATTTTCGGTATTTCAAAGATAATCGAATTAACGATTTTAAAGGAAATACAATAAAAATAGATTATTGATAATAATCGATTGATCGAAAATAATCGATTATTTAAAATAATCGATCATTCTGTTTTTTTTTGAAAATCGATTTGTCAGTTAATCGACTTTTTAATTAATCGATTATTTTCGATTTTTCAAAGATTATCGAATAATCTGTTTCCGTGGACGAAAAAAAATGGTTTATTTGAAAATAATCGATTATTTAAAATAAACGATAATTCTATTTATATTATATTTTGTAAACACTGATTTATCGGTTAATTGGCTTTTTAATTAATCGATTATTTTTGATTTTTCAAAGATAATCAAGTAGTCGATTTTAAAGGAAATGACAAAAAATATATTGTTTGAAAATAATCGATTGATCGAAAATAATCGATTATTTTCAATGATCGATAATTTATTTCGATAATCACTCATCCCTAGCGACCAAATGACTTTTAATAGATTTAAATTTTAAAATGTTATCTGGTTTCAGACATATGCATTTCTAGAGTTTTATGTGACTCATCCTTTATAATAATTAATATTCTTAAAGAAAGAAGCCTTAATATACTTTTTCTGAGGTTACAATACAAAACAGCATTTTCTCATTTTGACTAATTTTTAATAATATGTAATAGCCGTAGAAAAAATATAATGTTCAACTCATAAAGGTAGATTTGCTATTTTTATAATACTCGTAGACAATGAGTAACATTTTTTGCTCTATCAATAATATATTCTATTTCAACATTTTACTGTAATCTCTTGCAGAAAAGTCCGTAGTAAATAAACGCTAACGAAATATTCTATAAAAGGTCTTCTCTTTACATAAAATGTCGTGGCATCTGTTTGATATTAAAAAATCACGTTAATTTTATTTCATAATACAAAATTCGATTAAACACCTTTTAAATAAACCTAATAGTTCATTAAGATGCTAATAAAGAAAGTCCGGTCCCTGTCACAGAGTTCGGGTCGCCGCGTGTCGCCGCCCAGTTCCCCCACTCCGTTAACCCTTCTTTAGAAATTGGCAACATTTGCGCAGGTTTAAAACCGGTGTATGTTATATCTCTGGTCTCTTTTATCTAAGATCCCAACAAATCTAACATATTTGTATTCATTCGTAAATTTTTAGAACCTCTAAATCTAACAGGTTAAAAAATATCCAGCTAAAGAGGAAGGTAAAATATATGGGTGTCTCAATTGACTCAAAACTTCTAATCAGAATCCAGAAAAAAAAAACAAGTACAGCAAAAACATCATTAATGAAAGCAAAACTTTTGGTTGGAAAAAAGCTATGTTACAAGGCACCAGAAACAGTCAAATATATATTGTGTTGGTGTGAGACCTTGGCTCACAAAATACATGAACTTTTTGGACAACCAGTCCGATCAGCCTCCTACCAGTTACTTACAAGGTTATGGAATCAATTGTTGCCGAAAAAATGTCCTCCTTTGATACAAGATTAAGTATGTATCGAAAAAGTATACGAAGAAAAATGTAAATGCTCAGCTATATTCCTTGAAGCTCCCTAGACAATATGTAGACATTCTTCAATCAAATTTAACGGGAAGAATGATTAGAGTGAAGCAAGAAGAGGCGTATTCCGAAATGAAAGAAATTAAAGCAAGTGTCCCACAAGGCAATGTGCTAGGACCGGTTCTTTACTTATTATACACTAGCGATATCCCTCATCAACAATGTGTTAAAATAGCAACATTTGGGGATGACATTGCATTATTAGCAGTTGGCCGAAATCGAAAACATCCAGGAAACCAAAAGGGGAAATTTTAATAGTAGCCCTTTTAAATTCATTACGTCTTAGTAGTAATCTTTAACTGCAACCTGGTCGGACGGCGGACTGAGCGGTGGGTCGGATGGCGGATTGAGCGGTGGGTGGAACATGGAGAGACCTCCAGTACCATTGAGTCACATGACTACACCCCAAGAAATCAGGGATGTAGTAAAGAAACTCAAAAACAAAAAGGCTTCAGGTCCGGATGGTATAGGTAACAAACTAATCAAAAACTTCTCTAAGAAAGCATATGTGCAAACACACTATATAATAAACGCCATCCTCCAACTACAGCACTACCCTATAGAGTTTAAATCAGCCAATATTATCCCAATATTAAAACGAGGCAAACACTACAAAAACGTCGATAGCTATCGCCCCATCTCTCTGCTCAACGGCTTAGCCAAAGTGACAGACAGAATAATATTAAATCGTATACACACACACGAAACCGACCACCCGATTATCCCGTCGGAACAATATGGGTTCAGGGCTGGCCACGGCACAGTAGCTCAAGTCATCAGAATAGCACATCACGTCAAAAAGCATACAACAACAAGCAACAGACTGTTCTGGTGGCTTTAGATGCTGCCAAAGCCTTTGACTCGGTTTTGGACCGACTGGTTAATCTACAAAATGTTTATGAATGACTATCCCGTCTTCATTGTAAAAAAAATTCAAAGTTACTTATACAAAAATTATACATAAAAATTAACGACACACACACATGACCATACATAGCAAAAGCGGGAGTACCCCAAGGTTCAGTACTCTCGCCTCACCTGTATGACCCATGACATACCAATGGGCAATAATGGGATACAGACGGCATTGTATGCCGCTGACACTTGTGTATACAAATCGTCGGCATCAGCAGAAATCGCCATGAGAAGACTGGAGATTCACACAAACAGAACGTTAGTCCCCTTTCTCGAACACAACAAAATTAAAATAAATCCCAATAAAACAGAATCAGTATTACTAACCAAAATGCAATCAAACAGGATCATGAAACCACTCAAAATTCAAAACGACACAATACAAACGGCTAACCACCTAAAGTATCTCGGAGTCATATTAGATAAAGGGCTAACGTTCAAAAAACACATTGACGACAGATTTAACAAAGCTACGGCTATGATACGCATGCTCTACCCCATGTTACATAGACGTAGTGGAGTTACTCTCAGCAACAAACTTCTCTTCACAGACAAATAATTAGACCGACATTGACATATGGATCTCCAGTTTTCTGCTCCGGAGCTCATACACACATGCAAAAACTGCAAATAGTTCAAAACAAGTGTCTTCGGCTGGCGTTCGGATACGACCGTTACGCCAGAATACAGGACATGCACTACGAA